AAAAAAAAAAAAAAAAAAAAAAAAAAAGCAGTTGTCAGATTCTTTAGGATCTTCCATTCTGCAGCAACGGTGCAACTGCTGGCTCCAAGGTTTAATGAGAAAAGGCTTCTATTCCTTAACACTAACTCTGTCATTGAATAGAAGCAGTAGTTATTTTTAGAGCAAACAATGTTCAGAGTGAAATGCAAAGAACAAGGTCACCAAGTTCTCACTAGATGCATTCTCTAAATTATCAACCTTCCAAAGAGAAAGCATAGCACTGAACATTCCTTTTATAAAGAGGCTGGACAGATGAGCCAAATCACACCAGCATCCTAAGGGGAAAAAGGTTTGGAAGCATGCGGCTTTCTTGTCATAAGGATGACCTGTATGCTGCACTGAAGACAAATATTATGGCATGCAGCAGAGCACCACTTGCAGGAGGACTGATTCTTGGTCCACACAGAAAAAGGATCATCATGGCTCATGATGTCCTATAATACAAAGCAGCTGTAACAAGCTTCATATACTAAAGTAGTTGAGTGGTAAGAGAAGGTAAAGTTTCTGCTGCTGATAGTCAAGCATCTATGGCTTCAATTTTAACTGTCAGAGTATAACACTCCTATTTATGTAACAGGTAGGAAAATAAGTGTTCTCACATGCTGGCACACAGACTGGCTGCTTTCACATGTTCCTTTTAGCTAATCCTTGTCGCAGGGTTCTACAAATCTACTGAACTTCAGTACACCTGCTGTAATACAGCTCAGTAAAAGGTTGCAGAAGGGACATTGCACTAAAGAATTCACAATTTTTAATATCATTAACTCATCGCTGGAATATTATAATCAATTCCATTTGAAAAAGTGGGAAACTTCCCATTTGTTGCTTTGAAGTCACCTAGCAAAATGCTAGGCCCAAATGCCCTTCAAGGTACTACCTCCGAATATAGCATGTCCCAGGACAAAGATCTGCACCTCTTCGACCAGTACAACTCAGCTGGCTTACTTCCCCAAGGAGTACCGACCGCAGAGAATGCACACATCAACTGGGAGAAGGAAAAATGAGAATGTCCTATCCTGCAAGCTTAGAAGTGTTTCTCTAACTCTCTACTAGGCCATTCACACCAACTCCACTCACTAATTCAGACACTCAGAGCAAGGCCAAAACACAAACTAAGAGGAATGTTTTATAAAGACCCACTGAGTATGAACAGGAAAACATAGGGCTATCAGGTACTCTTGGATTGATTTTACAGAGTAGGGAAGCAGAGGAGCTGAGATGAGGAATCTAAAGAGAACAAACTGGAGTGGATTGTAGAGGTGGAACTCAGTCCTCCAGACTGCGGAATGCATTCTGCATGTCCTCGAAGAGTTGAGCATAGTCCGCCTTGATTTTCGCCTCACCATCTTTGACTGGGTCCTGAAATTTAATACACACAAAGTAGAGATCAATCCTTCACACAGGCTGGCAGTCCACACCACTGATCTAACTCCTTCCTGACCTGAGAACTTGCATCTGCTTCACTGCCCAGCAGGCATTTATAGCTTTAGTTTCAAGACTGAATCCAGGTGGTTGCCTCTAAAGGTGACCAAGCTCCTGTCTTACCCTTATCCCCACCCAATTAGTAGAAGAGCATTTGACAATGGTAGGTTTTCCCAGCCAGGATGCAGAAGACTGGACAGGTTGTTTTTCCACTTGAATTCATTTCCATCAGTTTAAGATAGGGGTTCTCAACCTACAGCCCAATCAGCACACTGGTGTGGCCCAATGTTTTAAAAAACAAATTTTTGTTTGATACAGAGGAAGTAAGTTGTGTGGGTGCAGCCCACACAACACATCTAGAGCTGCAAGTATGGCCCACTATAGCAAACAGGTTGAGAACCACTGGTTTAAAAAGGACAGCAGTAAGACACAGAAGCAGTAATCAGTCACGCGATGGACAGCAGGATTGCCATGACTGAATACCACCTCCCTTCCCTCTAACCAGAAGCTAAAGTATAATAAGCAGCTTGCTGACAGAGGAATTCTGCATGAAAAAAGGAATTAAAAAATTAAATAAGGAAGTACAGGAGTCAACTTCAGCACCTTCAAACAAAGCTCTATTTCTAAACAAAGCTGGTCTCATGTAATGTAGCAAGTGCTCACGTTCAAGAACATGCTCTGGCCATCTGGAGGCTCCACAATGGCCCTTCACTGCTTTCAGTTCACAGGTAAAAAGAGAATTTGTAGCTTTACACTCAAGCAAGCTATGGGACCTCCACTGCAGGAACTTAACTAATAGGCAGCCTGTGATGACGACCTGGACTGGTGGATCCTCATCCAGCTCTTAACCCTGCATACTCACTGCAATGGCTTAGCTATATGACACAGAGGTGCCTAGATGGCTGACTTGTTATGTGGCAACTACTTCCCCACACTCTTTAAGGCACATGTCAGATTGTGGAATATGGAGCATTTAAAATGTTTGTGCTAGTCTTGAAATCCCCCTCCCTCCCTCAATTTTCATGGCTGTTTTCCTTTCATGTGTTGTATGGAGCTTGCCAGTCATTTGTTAGATGATTACTTGATTTTGTTTTTATTGATTTTTTTTTTTTTTTACTTTTTTCAAAACACAGATTCTTCCTCTTAATTCTTGGGTACCTTTAGATAGCGAACACAAGACCACCTGACTAAGAATGACCATTTTCTTGGTCCCTCTCACTCTTCCCTGCCTCCCCACCCCCCAAAAAAAGCATCCATCTGGGAAATAATTTCTTCTCTAAGGTGGTCTGCAAGCATCCCATGACAATGGTTTTTTAGAGGCCCTGCAGTTGTCATAGGGACCCTGAGGAAGTGCCTTCCTGCCCGTCTTCCCACAAGTATACCTTGAATTTCATGGAGGTGAGTCTGTAGAGGATCTCATTCATATTCTCCCGGATGATGGACCACGTAATCTTATTGTCACTCTGGGCGGTGGTCTCTACAGCACGGCGTGCCATGTCATAGAATGCTATCATGTTGGAAAGCATCCCCACTGTCTTATAGAAAGGGCAGAACCTAATGGAGCAAGGTAGAGCCTATGATAAATAGCTAGTTACTTTCAAAGGAACAGTTGTGTCTGCTTTCAGGTCTAACATGACCCTCTCACAATCAAGTTTCTTTTGCTGGGTGGGATCCAAGACTACTGGTCTACTTCTCCTATGATAAATACACCATAACGTGGCATAAACAGTCCGTATTGAGCCCTGAGCCTTTAGAAGGAATGACAGACACTTTGTAGTCTCTCCTCATAGGGCCTGCCCTGCAGTCCCCTGATCATGCGAGTGGGAAAGCTGGAAAGAGATGGTAACAGACACAAAGGAAATGGGGAGAGGAGCATCTGTGCCAGTTTTAGATGGGCTGCCATTGCTCAATGATGAGAACTGGACTGAACCAAACAAACTCTTTCAGTCCCCAGTGTATTAGTGGGATGTGTAGCAATCAATGCAAGCTAACGGTCCTCTTCTGTCTTTCCCAAGAGATACTGCACACACACTGAACTGAAGTTTAATTCATTGATCAGGCTGCTGGGTCTGGAAGTCCTGGGTATACTGTTCAAGAAATAGCCAAGCCACCTCACATAGTATCAGGAGCTGACACCCTGAGCCTCTCCCAGTATTGGCCTTCAGCCAGTTTCCTAGAAAAGAACAGCTTGGGGGCTTTGCATGTAAAAAAAACAAACAAACAAACACTCTGACCAGTATAGAAACAAATCCTAGCTGCCCATCAAGTTGAAGGCTACTTTCAAACGTAAATGGACAGAAACGATGAAGTGTAAGAATCACCTGTCATATGGGGTGTAGCCATTCTGCTGCAGGAAGTCATCCTTGATTAGCTTGGCAACCTCCAGGGTAATCTTGTCCGTTTCTGCCAGGGATGCCTAGAAGGCAAAACAAAGTCAGTCGGGTGCCAAGTCCCATATGTAGGATCACTCTGCACTGGCCCCCTCACACTGTGAGGGATCATTATACCAGTGCTTTTATCCATATGCATGTGGCAGCATTGCTTCCTATAAAATTTTACCTTTCAAATATTTCCTTCTGCTACAAAGCCTATTATTCTGCCAGCAAAAGGACTACGAGCAATAGTTTTACCGACTAAGTATGTACACATTCCTTCTAATACTAACTAATGAGCAAAATGAGTTTCTTTTTAAAAGGTGTTGATAGCCTGTGTACTGAACACATGCTGGAATGGTAGATGTGTGAACAGAAGACTTCAACCAAATTTGCAGATGACATGAAATTGAGAATGACTGCAAAACACTGGAGGACAGTAGCACAACTCAGAAATATCCCTAGAGATTATGAAGCTGGACAGGAGCCAATAGGATGAAGTTCAATGCTGGCATGCTACACCTCAGGGAAGAACAAATCAAAAGCACAAATATAAAATGGGCGATAACTAGCTGGATGGCAGCACAACAGAAAAGAATCTAGGACAGCATCAGCCCTAAGGACGGCTGTGATACTTCTGGTGGCTGCCTTAATCCTGCCCTACTTGCTCACTCTAGCCCAAGGATAGGGAAAATACAGCCTGCCAGGCCATTCCATCCAGTCTGTGGGCCCCCTCCAAAAATCAGTTACTATCATCCCAAGGCCACCCCTCTGAAAGCCAGCAGGAGGTGGGCTTTCAGAGGTCACACGCCATTGGGCCGGGCAGGCTCCACCTCCATGAAGCTCCTGGCACTCCAGCTGGGATCCCCAAGTGGAGGCACCGAGCACAACAGTGCACAACTAGACAGCTAGTGAGTGGGGAGGGGAGCTCCTGCCTGCAGTGTAGAGAGCCCTAAATGGGGGCACAGAGCCAGCCCAACCTGGCCTGGCAGCATATGCACTCCTGGCTGCAGTGCTGGGAGCCCCACATGCTAGCATGGAGCCAGCCCTCCCAGCCTGATGCCATGTATGTGTGTGCGCAGGTGAGGGGTAGGGGCTTCCTCCACAAGTCAACTCCCCTGCTTTCCCCCTGTACTGAGCACCAGCTTTTGCCCTGTGCCACCACTGCTGAGCCTGGGTTAGCAAGCCTGGAGCAGGCACAGGGCACATGGGGTCAGGGCTGCATGATTCCCCACCAGTACCATGGGGCTGGGGCTGGCAGCAGCAGCCAGAAGGAGCTGCTGCTGCCCCGGCTGCCTAAAAAGGTAGTCCAGCCATGGAGCTGCCCCAGCCCTGCTGCATGCCAAGGGGGCGGTAGGATGCACCACAGGCAGGTGGCACAGGCCGGCCCAGGTTTGGTGCCTGGATTCACCAAATCAGCCAGAACCCAAAGTGGGTGCTGGGTGTGCTGGGGCTGTGCACTTCTGGTGGTGGCAGAGAGGTGCTGCAGGGCAGAGACTGAATGGTGCAGGGGGCTCCCATGCACACCCCACCATAGCCACAAACCCTTCTCCACATTTACCACCCCCAAACTGCACCCCCCCACATACCTCGGGGGGG